CTTGCTATAGGTGACATTGCTGAACTAATATGAAACAAGAAGCAACTCCATTTCGGTAGCTTTCATTATTTGCAATTCATGCCAAAATGAAAATGCACTTTTAGTATATCTTGTAATCTTTCCTACAGAAAAGTATTCAAGAAAAGTACATTCTGAAGAAAGTTCATTGGACTACAATATTAATACTGCTTTCTCTACATATGCTGCCAGGTTTGCTGAGTTTTTCCAGCAATTTCTGTTTTGGTTATTTTGTACCTCTTTGGGATTGTCATCTCCTCAAATATGTTGCACAGTTTGGAAATCTTCCTATTCTCTTGTTTCTTCCGCAATGAAAAAGGAATTATTCAGCAAGTGCTGTTGGGTGACACTTCACCTTGTCTAACCATTTTCTGGAATTCTCTGGGCAGTGCTGGCTCTGAAGTGGCTTCCCATAGTGTGTAGACACTCCCCTGTCTTTATTTTTCTTTTGAGCAGATCGAAATCATTATTTGACGTTGTACTGCAGTTACAGCAGGGAGAGAACCTTTCTTTCGTTCAGTTTTGTCTCTGAGAGGAAGGAATTAAGTTAGCACTGGGAGAACAGCACTCTGCATTTAAAGTACTACATGGGTTAAAGGACTTGATTTTACTGGCTGCATGGTTCCCCTTCTAATCAAAAAGTTAGCCTTCGACCTTCCCACCTGAAACTCTGGTGCCTTGTGACGATATTACGTAGGGAGTATCTTTAATTGTTTGAAAAAGGTGGCTCAGTGGATGGCAATGTTGGCTCTGTGCCAGGGACCCGGATTCAATTCTTCCCATCCCCCACCCCCCAGGCAACTGTGTGTGTGGGGTTTGTACATTCTCCCTACGTCTGCATGGGTTTCCTCGCACAGTCCAAAGATGTGCAGGTTAGGTGGGTTGGCTATACTAAATTGCTCATAGTGTCTGGGGATGTGCAGGCTTGGTGGATTAGCTGTGGGGAATGCAGGGTTACAGCGATAAGGTGTGGGTCTGGGTGGGATGCTCTTCAGCGGGTCAGTGTGGACTTGATGCGCTGAATGGCTTACTTCCACACAGTAGGGATTCTATGCACTCCACCTGGGAGGGTGATGGGCAACTGGGTTTGAGGGGAAAAGAACATTGGGTTGATAGTAAAATTTCTGGAGTGTATTCGCCTCCATTGGAAAAAGTCTCCTTTTCCCCACTTTCCCATCTTGCCCTCTCATTCCCCTGCTGTGGGGTGTAGTGAATGTCGAAAGAGCCCCTCAATTGGCCATGAGTTGGGAAATGGGAAGCTGGGTTGTCTAAAGCCTTCCCCATTCAGCATAAGGTGGGAGCCAGATTGCGAGTGAGTGGCAAGGCCGTCGCTTTATCTTGAGGTCCACCCCCACCCCCGCATGTTGCTGGAGAATGGAGTAGGTTCCTGTCTGCGAGTTGACCAAAACTAGGACCCTTCACTTTAACACAATATAAAAAATAGAAACAACAAATTAAAAGTTTTTCACAGGAAACATCATCATTCCAGCGTGTTCTGTTTTTATTTTTATACTATTTTTGTAAGATCATCGCCAATAAATCCAAAAGGGAATTCAGAAGATCGATACTTATCCAGTGGATGCTTTGGAAGTGGAGATAACTTTATTCAGGCTTATTTGAGTTAAGGGAAGCGATCTGAAAGTTAACTGAGAGAAAGGAATCAGAAATGTATTAAGAGATTGTGAAAATGAAGGGTATGGAGAGTTTTAGCATGGACCAAGTGTGTTTATCCTGTTCTGTGAGCTTTCAGAATCCCCAAATTGCTATGGTGCAGAAGGAGGCCATTCAGCCCATTGTGTCTGTACTGGTTTTCTGAGCATTTTGGCTTTGTGCCAATTTCCTGCCTTTCTGACATAACCCTATAACATACATTGTTTCAACAGAAACAATGATCTAATGCCCCTTGAAAATCATTGAACTTGCTTTCACCTCGTTCTAGGCAGTGCATTCCATGCCTGAATTACTTTGTGTGAAAGAGGTTTTTCTCACCTTGCATTGGCTATTTTTGCAAAACACTTTTTTTAAATCTTTGCCTTCTGGTTCTTGATTCTCAAACATGTTACCCAACTTTAGGTTAGTGCCTTCCACTGTAAAAAAAAAAAAAGTGGCAATTTAATTTTCTCCACACCAGTTATCTCTGAACCAACTTCGGAACAGTTTTATCCAACCATTCCCGATCTTGATTCCAGGTTTCACAATTACTGTTGAGTCATGACTCTGAGTAATGCTCTCTCCTCTGATCAAGCGGTACAGAGACTTGAGACAATAATCTCAGGCGACATTCTGCTTAGGGATTGTTACACATTCTGGCAGGATGTCTTTTAGATGCTCTGGTCATTGTCTCATTGCTGTTTGTCGATTTATCAAATGCTCACAGCAATTAACTACAAAGGCAGTTCATTGGCAGTGAAACACTTTGGCAATTCCTGAGGTTGTGAAATGTGTCATGGGAATGCTGATTTTTATATAGTAGACATAGAACTGTACAACAAAGGTGCAGGCCCACCATGTTTGCTGACCCTGGTGTCATTCTGAATGAATCGCATCTGCTTGTACGTGGTCTGTATCCCTCTGTTCCCTGCGTTTTTTCACGTTTCTGTCTAAGTACCTCATACTTTGCTAACAGATCTGCTTCTACCACCTCCCCTGGCAGTGCACTTACCACCCTCAGTGTTTTCAAAAAAAAACAAAATTACCTCATATCTCCCTTAAGCTTTTCCCCTCTCCCCTTAAATCTATGTCCCCTAGTATTTGACATTTCCACACTGGGAAAAGGATTCTGAATATCAACCTCCATTAATTTTATATACTTCTATCAGGTCATCTCTTAGCGTGTGATGCTATAGTGAAAACAACCCAAATGTGTTCAAACTCTTCTTTTAGTTAATAGACTCCAATCCAGGCAACATCCTGGTAAACCACTTTTTGCAGCCTCTTCAAAGCCTTCACATCCTATTGTGTCGGGACTAAAACCATGCACAATACTCCAAATGTAGCTTAACTAAAGTTTTTACACAGCTGCACCATGACTGGCCAGGTTTTGTACTCAATGCCCCCACCAATGAAAAATAGCATGCCTTAAGCCTTCTTTACCACCTTTATTCACTTGTGTTGCCACTTTCAGGGAGCTGTGGACTTGTAGGCCAAGATCCTTCTATATATCCGTGTTCCTAAGCGTCCTGCCATTTACTGTTTACTTTCCTGTTGCATTTGACCTCCCAAAATGCATCACCTCATGTTTGTCTGGATTAAACTCCGTCTGCCATTTCTTCTCCCAACTGATTTATATCTTTCTGTATCCTTTGATAACCTTCCTCACTATTCACAACTCCTCCGGTTTTCGTCATCTGTAGATTGACTAATCAGACCACCTACATTTCCATCTAAATTACACATCAAACAATAGAGATCCCACCACTGATCCTTGTGGGCCACTACTGGTCCCAGACGTCCAGTCAGAAAAACATTCCTCTACAACTGCCCTCTGATTCCTATGACCAAGCCAACTTTGTACCTGATTGGCCAATTTACTGTGGATGCCATGTGACTTAATCTTCTGGACCAGCCTACCATGAAAGACCTTGTCAAATGCTTTCGTAAAGTCCATGTAGACAACATCCACTGCCCCATCCTCATCAATCATCTTTGTCATGTCCTCAAAAAATGCAATCAAGTATGAGATTCAAGACATTCCCTGCACAAAGCCATGCTGACTATCCCTAATAAGTCTATTCTTTTCCAGTGTGAGTAAATCCTGTCCCTAAGTATCTTCAATAATTTCCCTACCACTGGTATGAAGCTCACCAGCCTATAATCTCCTGGATTATCCTGGTTACCGTTTTTTAAACAAAGGAACAACATTAGGGAATAGCCAGCCTTTTGGGACCTTTCCTGTAGCTAAGGAGGCTGCAGAAATCTGTCAAGGCCCCAGCAATCTCCTCCCATGCCTCCTTTCGGTATCCTGGATTAGATCCCATCAGGCCCTGGGGACTTATCGACCTTTTAATGTTTTTCGAAACACCCAGCACCACCACCTTTAATACTGACATGTCCTAGAATGTCAACACATCCTTCCATAAACTTACCATCATCCACGTCCTTCTCTTTAGTGAATACTAATGCAAAGTACTTGTTGAGGACCTCGCTCATTTCCTCTGGCTCTGTGTATAAATTCTCTCCTTTATCCTGAGTGGACCTACCATTTCCCTAGTTACTCTCTCACTCTTAATATGTACAAAAAGCTTTGGGATTCTCCTTGATCCTACTTGCCGAGGATATTTCGTGGTCCCTTCTACCATTCCTTGCTGCTTGTCAGGGCTGTTTTCTGCTGCATGTAAATTCCTCAAAGGCTTTAGGTTTCCTAAACCTTAAATATGCTTCCTTTTCCTTTTTTTGACTAAAGTTTCAATATCTCATCCGAGGCTCCCTTACCTTTCATCCTCATGGGAATGTGCTGGTCCTGAACTCTAATCAAACTAGCCTGTAAAAGATTACCGTATATCAGATGCGGGTTACCATCAAACAGCAAGTCGCAATATGATTTTTCCAGTTCCTGTCTCATACGATTGTAATTAACCTTGCCCCAATTTTGCACTCTTCACCAGACAACCAGTCTTACCCTTGTCTATCTTAAAACTTAAGAGTTATGATCACTGTTCCTAAAATGCTCCCTACTGAAATATATAGTGGTGATATTTAATTTTTCTGATCTGCATAAATGAGAGACTGACAGCATGTGAAAGCACTTAACTCCCAGACAGGTCCCTGGGTTTGACATGACATTTTAGAAATCTGTGGAAGTACAATGTCTGAGACAGGTTAGGGGCAGTCAGGCCCATGTCATTAGGTAAAATGGCATACACACCATCCTTTCAGGCAATGTTCAGTTGGGTGAGTGAATGACGTGCCCTTTTTAACTGCCAAATGACTTCACCAGCACCTTGTGGATTAACCTTTTTGACCTGTTTGCCTTTTGATTCCAGATGATGTATTGTACAATGAGCTCTGAGACGATGTCAACGCAACCCTATAACTGACAGCTTGATTCCACTGGAATCTCCCCATTTGTCACCGCCACAATGCCTGTGCAGGCTCCGCAATGGACAGACTTCCTCTCCTGCCCAATCTGCTGCCAGACGTTCGATGAGAACATACGCAAGCCCATCAGCTTAGGCTGTGGACACACGGTCTGCAAGATGTGTCTCAACAAACTTCATCGCAAAGCCTGTCCTTTTGATCAAACCACTATTAACACAGATATAGACATGTTACCTGTGAACTCTGCACTGTTACAACTGGTGGGAGCCCAGGTAAGAATTCCTTGAGTTACTTTTTCAAGTATGTTTTCCTGCTTTTACTGAACTTGCCAAATGAGGTGGTTTTTTTTTCAGTACATAACCTTAACCCTTGCAGCCCAATGGTGCCATCGTTGCAGCCTGATACATAGACGCACATGTTGCACTGCATTATGTACAAATTGGATGGGTCCTAAGCATCCTATAAGCAGCCCTTTTTAAAACTTCTGCAAAGCTCCTTGAATTAATAGAAGTGTAAAATGAAAATTTAAAAAAAAACCTCCATGTATTATTGTCTCTGATTTTTCTCCTGCTTTTGTTTTTACATGGTACTGTGCCCTTCAGAGTATTGTTTACTTCCTGGAGGTGCCAGGAAAATCTGAGAGTTCTACCACCACCAGCTAAGGTGCCAGCGATGCCTTCACCCCCAAACTCATTATTGCTCCTTCAGTTCTCACTGCCATTATATTGTCAATAGTGTCCAAGCAGCACTCCCTATGTGACAGACTGTGGTTAGTGTATGTGGCTCTCCCTGTGTGCTACCACACTTAATCCTGTTCTCCATGAGGGAAAAGCACTATTCTGTGCAGAGACAGTAGGAACTGCTGATGCTGGAGTCTGAGATAACAAGGTGTGGAGCTGAATGAACACAATAGGCTGGTCTGCATCAGAGGAGCAGGAAAGCTGACGTTTCGGGTCTGGACCCTTCTTCAGAAACGGGGGAGGGGAAAGGGGCTCTGAAATAAATAGAGAGAGGGGGAGGTGATGATAGAAGGTGGATAGTGGAGCAGATAGGTGGAGAGAAGACTGACAGGTCAAGGAGGTGGGGATGAAACCAGCAAAGGTGAGTGTAGGTAGGAAGTTGGGATGGGGGTTGGTCAGTGAGGAGGGAGGGGCGGGTAGGTGGAAGGGAAGATAGACAAGTCAAGGAGGCGAGGATGAGGCTAGTAGAAGTGAGGTGAGTGTAGGTAGGAAGTGGGGTTGGGGGTTGGTCAGAGAGGTGGGAGGGGCAGGTAGGTGGGAGAAAAGACTGACAGGTCAAAGAGGTGGGGATGGGGGAGGGGCTGGTCTGAGATGAGGTTGGGGGTGTGGAGATTTTGAAGCTTGTAAAGTCCACATTGAGACCATTGGGTTGTAGGGTTCCCAGGAAGAATATGAGGTGCTGTTCCTCCAGTTTTCGGGTGGCATCGTTGTGGCACTGGAGGAGGCCCAGGATGGACATGCCGTCCAAGGAGTGGGAGGGAGAGTTGAAGTGGTTCATGACTGGGAGTTCGTTTGTCACGAACCGAGCGTAGGTGCTCCACAAAGCGGTCTCCAAGCCTCTGCTTGGTTTCCCCAATGTAGAGGAGGCCACATCGGGAACAGCGGATACAATGTACCACATTAAACAGATGTTCACCTGCACGTCTGCTAATGTGGAAGGTTTTCTTGGGGCCTGCGACGGAGGTGAGGGGGGAGGTGCCAGGGGCAGGTGTAGCACCTCCTGCGGTTGCAGGGAAAGGTGCCGGGGGTGGTGGGGCTAGTGGGGAGTGTGGAGCGGACGAGGGAATCACGGAGAGAGCGGTCCCTCCAGAAGGCGGATAAGGGTGGGGAGGGAAATATATCCTTGGTAGTGGGGTCAGATTGCAGGTGGCGGAAGTGGCGGAGAATGATGCGTTGAATCCGGAGGTTGATGGGGTGATTCGTGAGGAACTATTCTGTGCAGATTTTCCCCGTACATGTGGAAAGATCTGACGAACTCCCTCTCCTTTAATATTAGAAAACAATGTCAATTATCTCTCCCTGGAAAATAGCCCTGTGGTATCTGCAAGCTAAGATCACCGTGGGTGTGAGAATGAAACTAAACTTGAACCACGTGATGGTGATTGTACGTTCTGTGAACGGTCCTGTTGCATGTAGTGTCACAGCAGTGTTTGGCGAGAGTTATAGCTTCAGTGCCTGTGACACATGTTTGTCTGAAGGAGTTGTTGTTTTCAGAGCTGCAATCGCTGAGTCATTGCAACACTTTGCAAAAATTTTTTTTTCTTTCTTCATATAACCTCTTCAATGACCACTTCGCTGGTCTCTGTGGGGCTCTAGTTTTCCCAATTCCTACTGCACTTTATACAGGAACTTTTAATTATCCAGCTAATGCCAGCTTTATCTTGTGGCCCCTTCATCGCAACCTGTCATTCGTTTAGCTGCTGGCTGCCCTGTATCCAAATTCCATTTGTCAGTCTTGGTTCTGCAACCCTTGATATCTATACCTAACAAAAATATTATCCAATCAGTTTTGGAAATTTCTCTTGGGCCCCTGCATTTATTGACAGCTTTTTTGAAGAGAGATTTGAAGATTGTTGCCTTTTTCTGAAGAATATTACTTGATGCCACCCTGGAATGGCCTGGTTCAATTTTATGTCATCACCCTTTGTTGTGGACCCACCCCTCTCTATGATCAGAGGAAATGGTTTCTCTCTGTCTGCCCTGACAACTCCCTTAATCAGTTTAAACATCTCAATTAGTTCACGCCTTAAATTATCCTGAAGACCACAGAACCTACTCAGACCACAGGCTGCTGTCAGCATGTAGCTCAGCACACAAGTTGACCACACTGCCTCAAACTCAAGTTTAAAAAAAAATCATTAAATATCAAATTTTTAGTAACCATGCAACTCAAGATTTTTGGATATCCAGCTTTACTGCATCCTGTGCTCCATTTGTTAACTTTGTAAAACATGATTGCCCTTTCTTAAAAACCGTGTTGACTCTTTCTGATTATACCATGACTTTTTAAGTGCATTGTTAAGACTCCCTAATACTGAATTAGTTTTCCTGATGACCGGCTAAATTGACTTGTAGTTCCCTGTTTTTTCTCTCTCTCCATTCTTGAATAACCAGTGTTCCACTTGCAAATTTCTAATACGCAGGGATTGCTTTAGTTCTAGGAATTTTGGAAAATTATAAGCAGAGAAATAGGCCATCAGCTCTTGGGGATTTGTCTGCTCTTAGTTCCTTAAGCTTTTGTAATAGTTTTTCTCTGCTAATACTAATTACCTTAAGTGCACTTCTGATATCCTATATTTCTGGTATGTAATTTGTAGCTTCAGCTGTGAAGTTGCAAAATATTTGTTCAACATGCCTGTCATTTGCTTATTCCCCACAATGATTTCTCTTGTCACTGCCTGTAAGGCTGTTTTATTGTTTATATACTAGAGAAAGCTCTTCTTCTAGTCTGAGTTTAGATTTCTGGTGAGATTATTCATTCTGTTTTATTCCCTGTTTTGTCAACTTTCTGATTGTCTCTCGCTGTTGCTAAAACTCTCCCGATCCTTAAGCTTGTGATTATTCTTTGCAATATTATAAGCTGCTTCTTTTAGTCTAGTGTGCTAACCTTGTATTCCCTTGTTTGCCACAGATAGATCTTTGCTGAGCTTTTGTTTTTGAATGGAATGGGTACTGCTTGATTCTATAATTCTGCATTTATAATTTTGGTTCATACTCTGATTCTTACTGGAGCTTGCACAGCTCCTTTCAGGCTAAGATGCCGCTCTGGGTTGATTCCACAGCCCACTGAGTCATGACTGACAGTGTCAAAACAAGTGCCAACTCAAATTAACACAATTACAGCTACACTTCCATTTCACTCTATGCTTCGATGATGAATCTTTGCCCTGTGGGCATACTGGTATGTATCAGGTGAAACTAGGGTCACCTCATCGGGGTGTTCTGCAGCTCGGTGCTGTGTTTGGGTACTTGTCACGTTTATTGTGGACGTAGTCATCTCATTACATTATTTCACAGTGCAACAGTGATTGTCCTTCTGCGGTACTACAGTGGATCTAGCAAGTTTTTTTTTGTGAAGTCATGAAAGGCACTGTATACACTTGTTTAAAATTATGATTTAACTGGAGGCCTCAACCAAGCAAAATGTTAGTTTGTTAGTGTGTTATGATAAACCATTATTTTCTCCTCTTGTGAATGGTGCTAAAGTTCTATAATATATTACATTTTAATGAACTTTTATTAGAGTGTATTCTCATTTCAGTATGTCTTATATACAGTAAACAGCTTTTTTAAAAAAAAAAATTGTTCTAATTATGCGCAGATTCCAGAGCCGCAGTCTGTCACCTTGTGTACAGGAGCAGAAAATACCAAACACTACGAAGAGGCAAAAAAATGTGTGGAGGAATTGGCACTGTACCTCAAACCACTCAGCAGTACCAGAGGTACCTAAAGTTCATTGAGACATTCTCGCTGTACGCTAATAAAGGGATTTATTTGTTGGCAGCTTTTTTGAGTATGTAATTTAGTCTGAAATCTAAACGTGCTTCAGGTGCTTTGCATAGAGAGTAATAGGTGCTTCAGAGTGAGTTACAGGTTGGAATCTAAATCAAGGTTTAGGAAGATTGGACAGTTTTGAAGAAAACTCCAATTGGACTCAAAATATTGGCCCTGTTTTTCTCCCAGATGCTGAATGTCTCCAGCATTTTCTGTTTTTATTTTAATTTTCCAGCATCAGCAGTATTTTGTTTTTTGAGGGATTTGAAGAGTTTATAAAAAGAATAACCAATACCCAGGAGTGAGTTACAGACTGGAATCTGTTTGGAGGTTCAGAGTGACATATATATAGAATAACATCTGCAGAAGTGAGTTATAGGCTCAAATGTAATTGATGGATATGAGGGGATTATACATAAGAATCAGATATCTGGGTATGTATTACTGTCTGATATCTAATCTAAGGGTTTGAGTGGTTAATGTGCAGGACTGAGTTGCAGACTGAAATATAATTGAGGAGTTCGGGGTTGTTTATACGTAGAATAACAGGTACTTGGGAGTGAGTTACAGGCTGCAAAATAATTGAGAGGTTTAAGTGGTTTATATGTAAAATAACAGCTCAGTGAGCTGCAGGTTGGAATCTAATCAAAGGTTTGGGTGTAGATACTTTCTAATAAAGCTGTTATTACATACCGCTGGAGCAGGCGGAACTTGAACTTGGGCCTCCTGTTTCAGAGATAGGGACAGTACTTGTGCCACAAGAGCCCCAACATTTTAGTGTATGGATAGAAGACAAGGTACATGATAGGTGGATGGGAGTAATGATCTAGAATCTAATAAATAGGTTTAAATGTTTTATATATTGAATAATAGATATGCAGGAGTGTGTTACAGACTGAAGTCTATTCAAAAATGTTTGAATGGTGTATATATAGAATTATACCTTCTGGGGTTGCGTTTCAGACTGGAATCTAATAAAAATTGGGGTGGTTTATATATAAAATAACATAGCCTGGAGTGAGTTACAGACTGGAATATAATCGAGGGGTTTGGATGGTTTATATATAGCATAATGGATACCCAGGAGCAAGTTACAGACTGAAATCTAATTATGGGGATGGGAGGAGTTCCACACCCAGTGATTTAGTAGAACAATAATCTGTATCGGGCATCATTCTGTCATGACTGGCTGCTTTATAAGGAACTAAGCTGCAAACAGCAGTGGAGGAGCCTGTGAACGGTATACCATATGTCTGACAAAATGGAATAATAATAACCTATTCTGTCATCTGAAATTCTGCGTGAGTCATGCCTTTTATGGAGACTCTCTGACCCTGCAGATGTGGGGAAATCACTGCCTGCAGAGTTTATATCTTTCCCCAATACCTTTCCTTATGTTGCTGATTAAACTAGCTGCCATTTGCAGACCAAGTGTTTTGCATACTAATGTGAATGTGTGTCCAGACTCTGCCTCGGGTGTTACTTTACTGAGATTTAGCTGTTAACTCTGTATAATTGTCCATGATATGCTGCGGGTGGTCATCACATTATCTTCCCCTGTTAGAACCCTTAAAATCCCATGTTACTGGACACCTGTATGCTGACTAACCGCCTTCAAATTAATTTGCAGTTCAAGTTATTGGCGCTCACAATAATCATAGAATCCTACAGTACAGAAAGAGACCATTTGGCCCATTGACTCCGTACTGACCCTCCAAAGAGCATCCCACCCAGACCCCAAGCTCCACATGGGGTTTTTAAACCATGGCTAACCCTCCTAACCTGCACATCTTTGAGATTGTGGGTGAAAACCAGAGCACCTGAGGAAAACCCATGCAGGCACAGGGAGAATGTGCAAACTCCTCACAGGGTCGTCCAAGGCTGGAATCGAACCCAGGTCCACGGCGCTGTGAGGCAGCAGTGCTAGCCACCGTGCCATCCTAAACTTAGATTTAAAGATGGGCAGTTTCTTGAGCTGGAAAATCCTAATTGTAAAACTCGTAGGGGATAATTATCAGTGAAGAAAGACGTTGATTAGAAGATTTCTGTAAAGGCCAGCAGAAATGTTTGCCCTGGCTTTATTCGGTCATCCAGTCCATCTCTGTGGGCTTACAAGTTCCAAGTGATCTGGGTACCTGATTCACAGGGCATAACCTGGAACCTTGTCTGATGATCCTGCCACACTCCCAGTGTGAACTTTGCCAGCATTGTCCCTCCTCTTAGTCTGGTGGGCGGTTCCCAATTGCCTGGAAGGTATGCGGCTCGCAGATCGCTCACCCCAAGAGCTGCTCCGTACCCCTGAAACACCAGAGAGGGGCAGTAGACAAACTGTCCTATTTAGAGTGGACAAAGAAATGTAGGCCCTGGCGCTGTGCTGTAACTGTCAATGCTTCATGATGCCCCCATGCTTCAACCCATAAACACAACATGCAAAAGTGTGGAGCATAGTGCCCACATGCAGTTACCAACACACAGTGCCTTCCGCTCAGCAAGCCATTCAGGAAGAAAATGCCTGTGGCTAGCAGCCCAAATTTCAGGCCTGTGAGGTGGTTCTAGGCAAGGATAGTAGGAACCGCCGATGCTGGAGTCTGAGATAACAAGGTGTGGAGCTGGATGAACATAGCAGGCCAGGCAGCATCAGAGGAGCAGGAAAGCTGATGTTTTGGGTCTGGACCCTTGTTCAGAAATGGGGGAGGGGAAGGGGGCTCTGAAATAAATAGAGAATAAAGCCAGTACAGATGAGTGTAGGTAGGGAGTTGGGATGGGGGTTGGTTAGTGAGGAGGGAGGGGTGGGTAGTTGGGAGGGAAGATGTTATGTCAGGTGCCTGAGCAGCTATTTCACGGGATGTTGATGGTGTCTGGGCCAGCATGTATCATTCATCTCTTGAGTGGCCTTGGGAAGGCACTGTGAGCTGCTGCAGTCTGTGTGCTGTCGCTACAGCCACGGTGCTGTTAAGAAGTGACCTTGTCAATCCTGTAGAATCCTTACTGCTTCTGAAAATATTCAAAAAGATTGAAGACGACCTTGACATCCCCTGGTTATCAGAGCTGTGTGTTTGCAGATTGTCTTTTACTGAGCAGGCTCATGTTGCATGAATCATGAGCTCTTTAACGGTGTCTTATCCTGTTGGTGTTCAATCTGTCCATGCTTGACCCTTCATATCAGAGTTCCAATTCTGACCATTTATCTATCCCCTGCTCCTTTCAGTCTACCATTGGTGGCCCTGCCTACAGCTGCTAGGCCCCTGGTTCTGGAATTCCTGCCCTTTAACGCGCTCTTCTTAAGATGACCTTTAAAATTTAACCCTTTGAAAGAGGTTTCAAAGTGCCCTGGGACATGTTACAGTGTTAGAGATGTAAATGCAAGCTGTTGTTTGAACAAACCCACAATCTGATTATTTCATAACACCCAGTGGCCATGGGAATGACGTAGACTGTTACTGAAGTGAGTTGACAAAGGGCGTGGAAAATAGGTTAAATCCAGCCTGAAACAAAAGAGGTCAGTTGAGAGCAGGAATTCCAGCCCTCAAAGTGGTGGGAAGGGAAATCCCACAGTGTTACTGCAGCTGGCTGTTTCATTTGTAATTTCAACTTAACTATTGCTTGTTAAAAATTATGTCACTGAGACAGAAATTCTTCCTTTTTACAGCCCGTCCCTGATACAGTTAGTGACTGCCAATTGCCATGTTTCTCTGCAGGATATGTGACTCCCTTTTCTCCAGTGCTCTCGGGTTGTAAGCTTGGCACTAATGCAGTGGAATACCGGGAAAACAGACAGGATGCTGAACTGTACCCCATGGAAGCTGGCCGACTTTCTTGGCCTGCTCCAGTTTGATGTCTGTATCCGTGATGGTCAGCGATATTTGGTAGTGCAGGAGCTGTGGACCTGGTTCCAGCCTGTGCCAGCTGCTCAGGTCCAGCCCTGCCCTCTTACACTGTTGCACTGTCCCATGGCCTGTACTGAGCTGTAGTGTTTTGTATTGCAGGTGTGGTGCTCAGCAGCGCTGCACAGAGCGTGCTGAGCAGGCCCATGCAGAGGAAGCTGGTTACACTGGTTCACTGTCAGCTGGTGGAAGAGGAAGGCCGGATTCGGGCAATGAGAGCTGCTCGCTCACTGGGGGAGCGCACAGTCACTGAACTCATCCTTCAGCATCAAAACCCACAGCAACTCTCATCCAACCTCTGGGCAGCTGTCCGAGCCAGGGGCTGCCAGTTTCTTGGACCAGGTAGGGTTACTGAATGGCTGTGGTACAGCAAGTTGATACTTAGTACTCCTAGATGTGTTAACCTGTCAGGGTTTTAGACCTCTTTCTTCAAACAGATGGTTTTCTTTTGCGATTTCTGGATCAGTGTTGCTGCCCAAGAATGCTGGGGAATGGAGCAGTTCTAAGGCAAGAGTTAGATACCGAGTAAACCTCCCATTTCACTGTTGATGGAATGAATGGCCTAGTTCTGCTACTTATCTTGCAGTCTTCACTGTCCTACCAATGTACTCACAGGACAGACAACATGGGGTCAGATAGAGAGTAAAGCTCTCTTTACTCTTTTAAACTGTCAAGCTTCACTGTCTTCCATCAAACATTCCCAAGACAGAGACCATATGGGGTTAAATACAGAGTAACGCTTTCTCTTTTTTTTAAGCTGCAAGTAAACTAAAAGTGAGTAAGTAAAGGTCCCCTAACACTGTCCCCTCAAACTCTCCCAGGACACTGACAGCGTGAGGCTAGATACAGAGTAAAGCTCTTTCTACACTGTCCCCATCTCTGTCACTGAGGACAGGGTTAGATGCAAAGCCCCTCTCTCAACTGAAAGTAAAGCCCTCTTTTAATCTTTTAAACTAAAAGTAAAGCTAACTCTACACTTCTAATTTTTTTTTTATTCATTCGCGGGATGAGGGCATTGCTGGCTAGGCAGCATTTATTATTACCCATCCCTAATCGCCCAGAGGGCAGTTAAGAGTCCACCACATTGCTGTGGGTCTGGAGTCACATGTCGGCCAGACCAGGTAAGGATGGCAGTTTCCTTCTTTAAAGGGCATTAGTGAGCCAGATGGGTTTTTCCGACAATTGACAATGGATTCACGGTCATCATTAGATTCTTAATTCCAGATACTTTATTGAATTCTAATTCCACCATCTGCCATAGTGGGATTCGAGCTCGGATCCCCAGAACATTGTCACAGGACTGTTAATCCAGAGATCCGGATAATACCACCAGGCCGTCGCCTCACCTGTAGAAGTAGAAAATAAAGCTACCCCTGCTGTTTCAAACCAAACCAAAAATGCAAAGTAAAGCACTAACAATACTCTACCCATCGATCACTTCTAGGACAGGGACAGCATGGGGTTAGTCACAAAGTAAAGCACTGTCCACACTATCCCAATTGTATGCTTTCTCTCAAAATCCAAAGAGCATTAAAGTTAGAACTATTATTTGAAAGCACCATTCTTCCCATCCTCTGTATGATATGACTGTTTCATTTATGTTAAATTTTACTCTCTTTATATCCTAATGAAGGCATTATTGGAATTGGTCAGTCAGAAACTGTATAGTAGGAAATAAATTAAAATCATTGGACCGGGACTGGGGGTAGCAGGGGTCGGCTCCGGACTGGGAATAGGAGGCGGCTGGGCTGGAACTGGAGCGCAGTTAAGGACCATTTTTAAGGACCAGATCTCAAATGGTGTGTTGTCAGTCAGATTGCAAGTGTTTGATATCTGTAATCTTGATTAATGACCTCTTTGGCTCCCAGCTATGCAGGAAGAAGCCCTCAAACTGGTCCTGCTTGCACTGGAAGATGGCTCCGCACTCTCTAGAAAAGTCTTGGTGTTGTTTGTCGTCCAGAGGTTGGAGCCTCGATTTCCTCAAGCCTCAAAGACCAGCATTGGGCACGTGGTGCAGCTGCTGTACAGAGCCTCCTGTTTCAAAGTAGGTTTGGGTTTGGGATGGAATATGCAGACTGAAGGCCACTGATTTTGTTTAAGGATATCAGCCAAATTACATACGTAATTTGTGTATTCTTGACTATGATGTACATTGTCTCAAAGGTTTGCTGATGACAGAGTTCATTCGTGTTGCATTTAATATCGTCATACAGACATAGAGCATGGAAACAGACCCTTTGGTCCAACTAGTCCACACCGAACATGATGCCAAACTAAACTAGTCAAACCTGCCTGCTCTGGGCCCTTTATCCCTCCAAACTTATTTTTTATTCGTGTACTCATCCAAATGTCTTTTAAACATTGTAATTGTACACACATCCACCACTTCTCAGGAAGTTCATTCCACTTGTGAACCATCCTCTGTTTAAAAAGAAACATTTGTCCTCCTGTCTTTTTTTAAATTGCTCTTCTCTCACCTTAAAAATGTGCCCCCTTGTCTTGAGATCCCCAATGCTAGAGAAAAGGCAACCACCATTACCTCTCTCTGTACCCCTCATTATTTTATAAACTTCAACCTCCTACAGTCCAGTGGAAAATGTCCCAGCCTATCCAGCCTTCCTTTATAACTCAAACGTCCTGGTAAGTCTCTCCTGGACCCTCTCCAGCTTAATAATATCCTTCCTACAACTAGGTGACTGGAACTGGACACAGTATTCCAGAACAGGCCTCACCAATGTGTTGTACAACACCAACATGACTTCCCAACTCTCTCTATACCCAAAGGCAAGTGTGCCAAATGCCTTTTTAACCACCCTGTCTACATGTGATGCAAACTTCAAAGAATGTATCTTAAACCCGTAGGTCCCTCTGTTCTACAGCACTACCCAACATGTACACCGACGACTCACCATCATTCTGACTCAACTTCTCCAATAGCCAGGATTTGTCACTCTGTGTGCCTTCTGTCCAGAATTGGTGGGGTAGAAATTTCCTTTGATTTAACATTGGGAAGAACATAGCATTTGTCTTGGTCCTAATCACCCTGACCACCTCTATTCCCCTGACCAGTATGTGATGTAGATCCACACTGTTGCCAACCTTAAGATCCAGTATTTCACAAGGTGAGCTTCAGACCTTGCATCCAGTCCATCATTAAAACCTTCAGGTTGCACTTCCATGGCATCTTCCCTCCTCTTGGCCAGACCTACTGAGCTTTTCTAGCAACTTCTGTTTTTGTTCCCGATTTACAGCATCCGCAGTTCTTTTGGTTTTTAACATGTACTTCATTGATTCCAAAGGTAATGTCCAATGCTTACCTGCAGAGCTTCCTGGCTTCTACTCTTCATAAACTTGAACTCATCAAAACTCTGCTGCCTGTATCCTGACTCTCGCCAAATCCATTTATTTATCATGGTTGTTCGTGACTGGCCTGTATTGATTCTGCTGCAGAACCAATGCATGTTTTGAAATGATCGTCTGTGTTTGAGGTCTGATCCTTGTTTCAAATCTCTGCATGGTCTCATCCTTGAATATTTCTGCAACTTCTTTCCAACCCTGTAAGATCTCTGTGCTCCTCCAGTTTTGACCTCTGTTTTTATCCCTCCAGCAGTAGTGACCATGCCTTCTACTGATAAGGCCCTAAGTTCCAGAATTCCCTCTTTAAGCCTCTGCATCTGTCTCCTTTCTCCACCTTTTTAAGATGCTATTTAAAATCTACCTCTTGAACCAAGCTGTTGGTCATCTGTTCCAGTGTTGACCTTGACCGGCTCAATTAGCGGCTTTCAAAATAGAATTAGACTGTTTTGTTTTTTTTTCTTAAATATTAATGTGCAGGGTTACAAGGAGAAGGTGGGAAAAAGCATCTAAGTGAAATGTTTATTCAAGGAACTAGTGCAGACATGATGGGCAGAACAGCCTTACTCCCTGCATTGTGATGATTCTGTGGTTGATGGCCTGAATAACATTTGACTGCTAATGCTCCTGTCAAATGATTTGGATTGTCCTGCCATGTCCCTGGTGCTATAAAATGTAAATGAGTGAGTGTATCAAACAACGAGAAGGATAGTAGCTGACTACAGGAGGGTGCCAAAAGACTGGTGAAGTGGTCAGATTCATGGCAGATAGAAGGTACGTGAAAGATGTAATAGAGGTGTTTAAATGAGGCATGGAGAGCTCAAAGAGAAACAGTTTCCGTTGGCAAGAGAGCTGGTGACCAGTGGGACATGAATTAAAGAAAATTCTCAAAACAAGAGAGGCAGGATGAGAATTTCTTTTCTACAGCATGTTGTGATCCAGAACGCCCTGCTGAAAGGGTGATCCAAGCAGATTCCTGATCAACTTTCATGAATGAATTAGAGAAATAGATTAAAAGAGGACATGCAGGGCCATTCTGAAAGAGCAAGTTGGACTAACTAGGGAGTTTTACCAAAGGCACAGGTACAATTGATCTCCTTTAATTTGAGCTGAACAAATTTCTTCGCTGTTTCTGACCTGTTTTTCATTGTTACTTTGTTCCTGGTACTGTGTTCAACAGTTGCATGTTGATTTATTTCAGCCTGTGTTTAATGGTTGCTTTGTTTCTGAGCCTGCAATTACAGTTGTTTCGTTCCTGAGCCTGCATCTGATGCTTGCTTCGTTCCTGAGCCGATGTTTGATGGTTAATCACTGTTGCAGGTCACAAAGCGAGATGAAGATTCCTCTCTGATGCAACTGAAAGAGGAGTTTCGGACGTATGAAGCACTACGGCGGGAACACGACTCTCAGATTGTGCAGATCGCCATGGAAGCTGGCCTTCGCATTGCTCCTGACCAGTGGTCTTCTCTCCTTTACGGAGACCTGTCACACAAATCTCACATGCAGTCCATCATTGACAAGGTATGGCAGTTTAAGCTTTGTTTATCCAGACCCAAACAAACTGCTAAGGCAACCATCCCCTCTGAGACAAAAGCCTGTGATAGGGGAGAGTGTATGTGGGATGGGAAGGGGATTAAATGAGTGGGTAGAGTCTGTGATAGGGGAGAGTGTGCATGGGGTGGGGAATGAGCTGTTCCTGCAAATGCAGGACTTTTTGCTTGTAGTGTGTAAAATGACATCCCAGCAGCTCATGCTGTTGTTATATCAAACAGCCCAAGGGTGGGTAGGAGTCTGCGTGTGTGTGCGTATAACTACATAAAATTCACTTCAGTCCATGTGTACTGTTAGGCTGAAAGTAACTAATGAGTTCTTTTAAGGTCTAATCAAAATGAATACAGCAGGACGCATGCGCTTCAATACACAGCAAATTTATTAGCTTTAATTAATATACATACAGACTAATGGGTGAATCATCTGTTAGGTTACTCTAGTTTACTAGTTCAGCTAATACGTATCACTACCTTTCTGCTCATTGGAGACTAGTGGTGGTAGCCTTTAAAGTTCTATTTTGGATTCCATGGTGCCGGTCTTACAAACCCAAGTCCAATGGTGAAGATCTGCAGACTGGGTTTGAGAGTCCCAGGCCAATGATGACAGTCCAATGAGTGGGCCAAAGCCCCTGATATTAATACTGTTCAGAATCTAATGTTCTGCGCTGTATCACCATTTCATATACTAGCCAGTACTTTCCCAGGTGTTCTGTTGTGCAAGTAACTCCAGATATCTCTGACTTAACTCTACAACCCAATGGTCTCAATGTGGACTTTACTAGCTTCAAAATCTCCCCACCCCCGATCTCATCCCAAGACCAGCTCCGCCTTTCACCCCGCCTCCTTGCTCTGTCCATCTTCTCTCCCACCTATCTGTTTCTCCCACCTCACTGACCAATCCCCACCACTGCCTGCTTGCACTCACCTATCGCCATCCCACCTACCTTCCCCAGCCCCTCTCATCCCCGCCTCCTTGACCTGTCTGTCCTCTCTCCCACCTATCCGGTACACTGTCTACCTGCTATCACCACACACCACCCGCCCCCACCCCCCCGCCCCTCTCTTTATTTCAGAGCCCCCTTCCCCTCCTCCATTTCTGAAGAAGGGTCCTGACCCGAAATGTCAGCTTTCCTGCTCCTCTGATGCTGCCTGGCCTGCTGTGTTCCTCCAGCTCCATACCTTGTTATCTCAGTCTCCAGCATGGCAGTTCGTACTATCTCTGTACAATAGTCTGTTTTCCAGGCCCCAGCCCAGGTCAGTGCAGTTACCTTCTAGACGAAACAGGCTGCTTTTGCACTGGGCCTGCTTTCCGTATAATTCCTCCTTCAATTACACATTATCATTTCCAATTAATCCACAGTGTCCGTGACCTCACTGCTTCTGGTGACCTCCCCTCTAATGCCTCCAGCCTTTATCCCCCAGCCCCACACTGCCCAGTTCTACCCGCTCCCCAAGATCCACAAATCCAACTACCCCAGCCGACCCATCATCTCCGCATCAAACTCCATTCTTCCTACCTCGACTCCATTCCCTTCCCCTTGGTCCAGGCACTCCCCATGTACATCCAGAACACAAACCACACCCTCCCTCTTCAGAAACTTTCAGGTCCCTGGTCCCCAGCGCTTCATCTTTACTATGGACGTGCAATCCCCTCTAAACAGCCCTTCCAAGTGAGACAGAGCTTCACCCGCATCTCCTCCAACCGAGTCTATTGCATCCAGTGCTCCCGGTGTGGTCTTCTCTACATCGGTGAGACCAAATGTACACTATGTGACGGTTTCGCTGAGCATCTTTGCCTGGCCTGTAATGGCCAGCCTAACCTCCCTAGTCACTGCCCATTTCAACTGCGCGCTCACGCGCACATCTGGTGATGCAGATTGCACATTTGAGGAACAACACCTTTATCATCCAACTGCGGCCCAAAGGACCCAACGTTGAGTTCTCTAATTCCGAACAACCTTCCCACCCATCCCCTGGCTCCCTTTCCAGACCCACCTCCTCCCTTACATTCCACCTACTGACCCCCCCGCTCTTCCAGCCAGCAACTGGATTTGTGCCTCCCGTCAACAGACCAGGTCATACCTACTACCGATATCCACCTACCCCCACCATCCTGAAGAAGGGTAATACCCGAAACGTTGACTGCTGCTTTCCACCAGGTGCTTCCTGGGTTGCTGTGTTCCTCCAGCCTCCTGTTTGTCTACCTTGATTTCCAGCATCTGCAGTTTTTTCTTGTTTCTAACCGTTAATGATCTTGTTTGGAGATTTTTTTTTAAGCCCAACGCTACACCATGTGGAGTGGTCCCAAAGCAGGATTGAATTGCGAACAATAAATTAACCCTACTCAGCTTGCAGGTATTTTTTATGCTAAGCTCATACGCCTGGAGGATGCATATTGATAGAGAGTTGGTCACATTCATTCAAAAGATAGGCCTAGCAGGCATCTGTCTGATTCTGTACTCTGTGTTCTTTAACTGTTGTATGTGCTCTGCTGATGGAGCCAGTTTAGTCCCAGATTGTTTCACCTTTTTCTCACTTGATGTCTTGTGATGTCAGCTGGGTGATGTGGAGCTGTGAGGGATTTCATGAACGTCATTTATGATAGCTCTTTGCTGTCTGTTCCTTACTCGCAGTTGCAGACACCTGCCTCCTTCGCACAGAGTGTTCAGGAGCTGACAATTGCCCTTCAACGAACTGGAGACCCTGCCAATCTAAACCGCCTTCGTCCACACCTCGAGTTACTGGCCAACATCGACCCCAGTCCAGGTACTGGAAACAGCTGTTCATTCGAATGGGTTTAAAAACTAGTCCCCTCTCATGTTGTCCCAGCTCTGATTCGGGCAAACTGGGGAATCAAAAATAGCCATCAACAACAACTTACATTGATGTAGAGACTTTAAAATAAGGAAATGCCTAAGGTGCATCTCATGTTAACAAACAAACTTTGACACTGACTTACAAGGCAGTTATCAGGCAGGTGATGATTGCAAATCTGAGTCTTATGGATCATTTCAAAAGAGGAAATAAGTAGTGAGATGGAGAGTTTTGTGGAGGGAATTCCAGAGTTTGCAGCCTGGGCAGCTGAAGACTTAGACATAGCTGCCAATGGTGTAGTGATTAAAATTGGGGTGCTTGAGGCTAGATTTAGCAGAAGGCTGAGGTACCAGAGTACTGAATGCTGGACAAGATTACAGAGACTTGGGTTTGGGGTGGTGACGGTTGTCTATTGAGTGCAGTGAAAATTTCAGATCAAGGTTGAGCATTTTAAAACTGAGGCACTGCTGGATAAGTAAATTTGTAGATGGCACAAAGATGGACTGGATGTTTGACATTGAGGGAGAAGGTGTTAGGTTACAGGAGGATGTTCAAAAAACAGATTGTTCAAATGGGCAGATTGGTGACCGGTGGGATTTAACCCTGATAAATGTGAGGTGATGCACTATGGAATAAAAAACAAGCTTGTTCACAACCCTGAAGGTGGCAGGACAGGCTAGTAGGGTGTTTCAGAAGGTATATGGGAGGCTTGCCTTTACCAGTTGAGGCATAGATTATAAGAGCAGGGAGGTCATGTTTGAGCTGTACAAGACTTTGGTTGGGCCATTGCTTTGTGCAGTTCTGATCATCACACTATAGGAAGGATGTGATTACACTAGAGGGGACTACAGAGGAGATTCACCAGGATGTTGCCTGGGATGGAGCAGTTCACATGTGAAGAGAGGCTGGATAAGCTCGAGTTGCTTTCTTTAGAGCCGCGAAGGTTGACAGGGGGACCTGATAGCGGTGTAAAAGATTGAGGGGCATGGACAGGGTGAATAGAAAGCAGCTATTCCCTTAGTCGGATGGTCAGTAACAAGGGGACGTCATTTTGAAGTGAAAGGCAACAGGTTCGGAGGGGTCTTAAGGAAAAATGCATCCATCCAGAGGAATCCACTGCCTGGGAGGCTAGTTGAGGCAGAAACCTCGACCTTCTTAAAAAGTACTTAGATGAGCACTTGAAGTGTCATAGCATTCAAGGCTATGGGCCTAGTGTAGGAAAGTGGGGCTAGTGTAGTTAGTTGTATATCTTTTTAGCTCCACAGACTCAATGGGCCAAGAGTCTCTTTGGTACTTATGAGCTTCAGTATAGCTCAGCAAGTGCAAGAATGATGAGTGAAAAGAACTTAGTTCCAGTTAGGAAAATGGGCAGTAGACATGGCCAGCCTGAGACAGTTTATATGAGCTTTGGAAGTAGGAAGCTACCCCTTGTATCCAGTTATAAATCTCAGCATTTTCTAGAGAACTTTACAATGAAACCTCAATTTCTTGTGCAGGGAATCAGTTGACAGGAAAATCACAACATGATCTCACACTGCCATAAATGTGGCCGTGACCCAGTGCCCTCCCTACCACCTGAGTTCCCAAGAGCCACAGATGATAACTAACAGGGAGGGCTGGCTCACGTGCTGCACCTTTCTCAGCCCACAGCAGCTGACAGTCCATATTTAGACTCTTCCTCTCCCTTTACCTTCACTTACACACACAACCTTCCTTTAAAACCTACTTGGTGTTTTAGTCACATGACCTTTGGCTTGTTGCATTTTGTTTGATAGTCAATTCACTGTGAAATACCTTGAGGATATTTCAGTCTGAAAGGAGCTGTATCATAAGAACTAGTAGCAGAAGTAGGCAATTCATCTTGAGCCTGCTCCGCCATTTAATATGAAGTTGGCTGATCTGCTCTCAGCCTCACCTCCACTTTCCTGCCCATTCCCTATAACCCTGTAACCCAATACAGATTAAAAGTCTATCTATCTCCTCCTTCAATTTACTCCGTGTGCCTGTGTTCTCCACATTCAAAGCTAGTGAATTCTATAGATTCCCGTCCCTTTTGAGAGAAGTGATTCCTTCTCCCTCTGTTTTAAATCTGCTACCCCTTATCCTAAAGCTATGTCCTCTAGCTCTAGATTGGCCCACAAAGGGGATCATCATCTGTCTATTTTGTCATTCCCCTTCAGCATCTACCTGCTAAAGGAGGGATGTTAAACCTGAAAGGGTTCAAAAAAGACTTACAAGGATGTTGCTGGGGTTGGAGGGATTGAGTATAGGGAGCGGCCGAACAGGCTGGGGCTATTTTACCTGGAGCATCAGAGGCTGAGGGGTGACCTTATAGAAGTTTATAAAATCATGAGGGGCATGGATAAAGTAAATAGCCAAGACCTTTTCCCCAGGGTAGGGGAGTCCACAACTAGAGGGCATAGGTTGAAGGTGAGAGGGACAAGATATAATGGGGATCTAAGGGGCAACTTTTTCACACAGAGGGTGGTGGGTGTATGGAATGAGTTGCCAGAGGCAGTGGTGGAGGCTGGTACAATGGCAACATTTAAAAGGCATCTGGATGGCTACGTGAATAGGAAGGGTTTAGAGGGCGTTGGGCTAAATGCTGGCAAATGGGACTAGATTTATACAGGATATCTGTTTAGCATGGACAAGTTGGACTGAAGGGTCTCTTTCTGTGCTGTACAACTGTGACTGTATCTTGTATATCTCCCCTCGTTTTTCTGAACTGTAGAGAGTGTAGGCCTAAACTCTTCAAACTTTCCTCAAGGAGAGCCTTTCATTTCTGGAGCTAATATAGTGCACCTTCTCTGAACTGCCTCCAATACAATTGTAGTCAAACCTGTGTATCCATTAGGATTCTGTTTGAGAACCCTGTGAATTATGAAATTTGTGTGTGGAGCTTGTTTAAAAATACGTTAAAAATAAGTTAGAAATCACGGATACGTGAGTTTTGTTGTGGAGGTTGAATTTTGTTGCTGTTTACTTTTTGGTGTAGTTGGGAAAATTTGCGAATTGTGAATGCAGATACTGAGGATTTACTGCACATCCTTCTTCAAGGGTCAGAACTGTACACAGTGCTCCAGATATGGTCTCCCCAATACCTTGGATAATTGCAACAACACTTCCCTGTTTTGAAACTCCATCCCTTTAACAGTAAATGCCAAAATTCCATTTGTCCTCATTATGACCTACTGTAACTACAATCGAGCCTTCAGCACGGGTTCCTGTCAAAGTGTGGATTCCCAGGAGAGTGGGTTAGGCAGTCCCCTGTCAGTGTGAGGATCTGGGCATTCCTTTAGTTAAGTGTGTGTTCAGTTTGCTAACTGCAATATTATTCTACCTATTGTTCTCTTTGTATAATTTCCTGATCTTCTGTTTTCCTGCAGATGCCCCTCCTCCCACATGGGAGCAGCTGGAATGTGGCCTGGTGGCGGTAAAGACAGTAGTGCATGGCCTGGTGGACTTTATACAGAACCACAGCAAGAAAGGCACTGACCAGCAGCAGGTAAGGAAGCTGTGACCAACACTTGAGTTTGAACTCAACAAAAAGTCAGAAAGCTGAATACCACAGATGCTGATTGACCTATCATCAGAACATCGACCTGAAACGTTAGCTGTCACTCTCCACAAATGCTGGCTGACCTGCTGAATATTTAAAGCTTTTTCTGTTTTTACAATTTGACAAGATTCCATTTTCTGGACTGGAATCATTCTCCACATTCTGTACATGGCTCATTGGGAAAACACACTGACCTTCAGGTCTGAGTATTGATCCTTCAGCTTCACTGAGCATTGTCACATTGCTGTTTCCCGTACCTCACTGTGCACAAATAGTCTGCTTCACTCCCAACTTCAAATGGTGCAGACTGTGTCAGCTCTTTCACAACTCACTGCTTGCCTCCTTCACAAATTATTCAGTACCTGTTTGCAGTGACACAGCAGAGGTGCGGAGCTCACAACACTGAAGTAGATGCTGCATCCCACTGCTCCCTGCTATAACAACTATAATACACCCCTTTTATGCAATGCCATCACACGGTTGGTTATTCGTTTCGGAACCAAAGAAAACCCTACGTAAGTAAGTAACTGGAGAAAAGTAAACCGTACAACCCGTCAGGCTTATTCTGTCATTCACTCCAATCATGGCTGATTATCAGCTTTAACTTCATTTTCCCACCCGCTCCCCAAATCCCTTGATTCCATGGTTCTCCAAAAAATCTTCTGCCTTGACACAACCTCTGTGCTCTAGAAATCTAAAGTTTCACAGCCCTCTATGTGAAAAAGCGCCTCACCTCTGTCCCCCTCCTGTCCTGAGGCTGTTAGCTCGTATTCTGGATTTCCCCTAGCATGGGAAGCAACTTCTATGTCAAGCCCCCTCAGGAATCTTGCATGTTTCAATGAGATCCCCTCTCATTCACTTCTCCTTTCAGGGGCTAATCTAGTGAACTTTTGCCTTACCACCTCCAACGACTATAAGGACTAACTGCTCACAGTATCCCAGGTGTGGCCCCACATTATGATGTTGTGCAATCATCCTGGTCCAAATATGCACTGATTGTTTTTAATTCATAGTGCTTACGTATATAAAGAAAGAATGTCCCTTCATGAAATTCTTTTCGTGTCATCGCGATGATCTAAAGATCCAATATACTTATTGTCATAAGGTAGGAAATCACATAAAATCAAATTGCGCGCACACATCTTACAAACAGCAGTGTTATGAATTTTTTTTGGTGGTGTTGATTTAAGGAGTAAATGTTGGCCAAGCCACAAGAGACAGGTCCCCTGCTTTGTTTAGAATAGGACCATGTGATTGTTAATATACAACTGGGAGGGCAGACAGGGAGCTCTGTTTAACATCTTTTCCAACAGTACGGCATTCCCTCAGGACTGCCTGGGACATCAGTCCATGTTCAGCTTGCTCCGATTACATCCCTGCTACTGGTGATGTCCGCCAAGAATTGAGTTGGGGACAAGCTCAGACGATGGCACTTGCAGCCGATGTTAACCATCAGTGCACGAATGTTTCTATAGTTTGAGAGGCTACATTGATAGAATGGAGCAGCAGCCTTGAAGCAGAGAAGGCCAAGAGGAAATCTAATAGAAACCTTGAAGTTTTAGGTGGAGTAAATTTTTTTTTTAGAAAGTCTCTAATGACTGGTTGACAGGGATAGGCGCTGGCCTAATGGTATAATTACTGGACTGTTAATCCAAAGGCCCAGCTACTACTCTGGGGACCTGGGTTTGAATCCTGCTATGGCAGATGATGAAATTTGAATTCAATTTTTAAAAAAAAAGTCTGGAATTAAGACTCCAATGATGACCATGAAACCGTTGTCGATTGTCGGAACCCATGTGTTTCATTAATGCCCTTTTAGGGAAGGAAACTGCTGTCCTTACCTGGTCTGGCCTACGTGTGACTCCAGACCCACAGTAATGTGTTTTTATTCATTCATTCATTCCCGTGATGATGTTGCAACTGAGCCGTGGCTGGCATTCTGTTCTTGGGCTCCAAGTATCTCGCCCATTCTTTATGTGGGGCTCTTTACACAGTGCTCTTTGGTCTGCTATTGTACTGTGAGGATGTGTGACAGCTGAGCCAGGTCCTCCCTTTAAGCAAGTGTCCACACACCGTTTCCAGCAGGATTGATGCAGTCAAAACCCTCTTGTGGGAATTTGGTTTTCTCTCTAACCTTTTAACAAGCCAGACACTTTGTATTTATGTCTGTGAGAGAGTGTATGAGAAATTCAGCCACCGAGGGAAATGCTAAGACTGCTGTTTGCAATGCCAGGTCCTCTGAGCAGAGAATTGTGTGAGCTACAGGCTGTATACTTCCAAGTCAAGCTTTCTCATTATTTTTCCACAATGCAGTCAGCTCAAAGCAGCAAATACAAAACAAGCATGTGCCGGGACCTGAGGCAGCGGGGAGGCTGTCCTCGAGGAGCCAGTTGCACTTTCGCCCATTCCCAGGATGAACTTGAAAAGTAAGTGACCTCTCAGTTCCTACTTTACACCTACTGAAGTGCTGGGGGTGGGGTGCTCACTGTCAGGGTGCAGCATTGACACTTCACCAAGGAGCATTTGACTGTGATCGTTCCCTATGGCTCCTGTACGTAATCTACTGTTTCTGATGTTGTAACTGTGGAAGTGCTTGCCCCATTAGGAGCTGGTTGTGTTATCCCTATAGAAAGGACGTGGGAGGAATCATCACTCCCTCGCATTTCATTCCCCCACTAGTGACTGTCATATCACTCCCCATATTTCATTCCTTGGCAAGTGTTTGTCATGTCACGTCACTCCACTCCCATTTCAACCCCTTACTCATCTGTCAATCCCAGTTATCCAGTGCCTGTCATGACACTCTTCCACTTCATTCTCTCACCACACCCAACCACATCATTCCCCAAATTTCATTCCCCACTAGCCTCTGACAAACCGCTGTCCCATTTCATTTCTTAGTCAATGTCCAGGTACATCTATTAATCATATGAAAGCTCATCAAAAAGGCTCATCTGTCTCTTCTCATATTTGTTGCCCATCCCTAATTGCCCTTGAACTGGTGAGGCTTGCATGGCCATTTCAGGGGGCAGCTGATAGGCCAGGCTGAGTAAGGCGAGCAGATGTCCTTCCCTGAAAGGCCTTATTGAACCCAATGGGTTTTTATGACAATTGATGATAGTTATCATGGTACCCATCACTGAGACTAGCTTTCAATTCCAGATTTTTATTAATTGAATTTGAATTGCACCAGTTGCCATAGTGATTGGGATTTGATCCTCTGGATTATTTTCTCATTGACATTACCACAATGCCACCATCTCCCTCATGTACTTCTAAAAACGAAAATGAATGCCAGGAATGGGATTGGCATATTCATTGCTAACCCTTGAAGTGGTATAGCTGCATAGCTTAAAAGGGAATGTTGCTAATGATGTGAAATAAAGTAGAATTAACAAGAGATCTCAAGAGTTAATGATACTGTAGGAAATAAATTCTACCATGTTTATAATTATTCAAATTCAGTTCGAGGAAGAGCAACTTGGGTCTCAAACCAGCGTCCTCGAATTAAATCAGGGCAATTAGAGATATGAAGAGAGAGTTGTTTAAATGGCTGGGAAAGTATACTCCAGGGAAAGTCAGTGGATGAATAGCAGCAGATATTTATAGTGATATTTAATGATGCTCAGCAAAAAGTTATTCTAGTCAAAAAGAAGGACTTAATGAGAATAAAGGTGATCAAGGAGAGCATCAAATCAGAAACTAAGGCATACAAATCAACATTAAAATGGTATTAGGTCAGAAGATTGGAATTTTTTTTGGGAACCAGCTGCAGGTGACTAAAATGCTAATAAAGAAGGAGAAAATGAGTTGTGAAAGTAAATTGGCAAGAAATATGAAAGCCAACAGCATGAGCTTTTATGGATATAGATTTAAAACAAAAAGTAGCACAAGTGAGTGTGAGTAAAAGTGAAAATAGGTATTTAGCTTATAATTTAAATCAATAATTTGCATCAGTCTTTACAGTGCTTGACACTACAAACATCTCAAAGATAGAGATCAAATAGACAAGGTGCTTTGTGCTATAACAATGTGCATATGCTATACTTGTCATTCGGTTCAGGCATAAAGTTTAAGAGCAGGGAGGTTCTGCTGGAACTATGTAAAACGTTGGTTAGGCCACAGCTAGAGTGTTGTGTGCAGGTCTAGAATCCATATTATAGGAAAGATGTGATAGCATTGAAGAGGGTGCAGAGCAAAATTACCAAGATGTTGCTTTGGCTGGAGAGTTTCAGTAACAGAGAGATTGGGATAGACTGCCTTCTGAAGAAGGGTCACTGGACCCGAAACATTAACTCTGTTTTCTCTCGACAGATGCTTCCGTACCTGCTGAAATTTTCCAGCAATTTCTGTTTCTGATTTCCAGGGTCTGCAGTTCTTTGTTTTTTTTTTGGGACGAACTGGAGTTGATTTTCTTGGAGCAGAGGAGATTGAGATGTTTTCTTTACTGCTTTAATGAGGGATGTTGGGAATCTGAACGTGGGCCTCAGTTTAGTGTTTCAATCTGAAATCTGTGTCAGTGCAGATTTCCCTTAGCAGTACACTCAAAGTTAGATTAGAATATGTCCTCAATTATGACATAGCAAGGCTGTAAGTTAGCAGCTCCTGACTAACATCTGTCTGTCAGAAAAGGCCATACTATACCTAGACCCTCTCCTGAAAGACACCTGCCTCACAAGCTCCAATACCTTTGTCTTGATCCAATAATCACAAAATAGATCAAATCAAACGTGTTTTATACAAATAAGCAGATGTCACTGCTAGTTACAGTCACATTCAGCAGACCGATCTCCCAAGGACTGTCTTCTACCAAGCAACCAGCCAGACCTTTATGTTCATTTACAGTACGCTAATGTTGCTGACAAGGTCAGTGTTTATTGCCCTTCCCCCAATTATGGACAGCAAGTGGCAGTGAGCTCCCTTCCTGAACTAATGCAGTTCATTTAGTTGGGCAGGAAGTCCCAGTTTTTGAGCTAGTAACAGTGAAGGAGAGGTGATGTAACCTAGCTCTGGAGCTGTACTCCTACAGCTAAGTGGGAAATATTCCATCCCACTCATAACGTCATACAGTGTGGAAACAGACCCTTCAATCCAGCTCATCTATGCTGACCAGGTATCTCAAATGGAACTAATCCCATTTGCCTTCATTTGGCACATATCCCTTAACTTTTCCTATTTATGTAGCTGTCCAAATGTCTTCTAAATATTGTAATTGTTCCCACCTCCTCCACTTCCTCTTGCAGCTCATTCCGTACACGCATCACCCTTTATGTGAAAATATTGCCCCTCAGGTGCCTTTTAAATTTTTTCACCCTCACCTTAAACCCATGTCTTTTATTTCCAGACTTCCCCACCCTGGGATAAAGACTTTGGTTATTCACCTTTCCTGTAACAGGGCGACCAGAATTGTATGCAATATTCTAAAAGTGGCAGCACCAATGTCTTATACAGCCGTAACATGATATCTCAACTCTGGTTTCTGATACTGTAGCTAATAAAGGCCAAACACCACCTTTACCATCCTATGCACCTGCATCCCTTGGTCTCTCTGTTTGACCACACTCCCCAGGGCCCCACCATTAGCTGTATAAGTCCTGGCCTGGTTTGTCTTACCAAAATAGAATACCTCGCATTTATCTCAATTAAATTCCATCTGCCATTCCTCACCTCATTTGCTTAGCTGATCGAGATATCATTGTGGTCTTAGGTAACCTTCACTGTCCACTATACCACCAATTTTGGTGTTGTCAGCCAACTTACTAACTGTGCCAGCTATATTGCCATCCAAATCAATTATGTAAATGACAAAAAGCAGTGGGTCCAGCACTAATCCCTATGGTACACTGCCGGTCATAAGTCTCCGGTCGTGATTTGTGCCTTGTAGATGGTGGACAACAATTGGGAAGAATAGAAGCGATGTTCTCAATGAGTTAGACAGATGTGAGCGGCCTCTGTGGTTTTGCTGCGCAAGTTGTCCTTTTCAAAATAATATGCGTGTGTGGCCACACACAAGAATTGAATGGTAAGTGCCTTGAAAAGGCTGAACACAACATCAGGAAAAAAAAAAGGAAATATTACTGAGGAGTGTGCACTTTTCTGCAGAACCCAACTTCTGACCTGCTCTTGAAGCCACTGTACATTCGTGTTATGAAGCAGATGTTGACCCCCCACTCTGATAACTAAAACTGAAACACCCAGAGAAGCTTGCCTTGCCTCATAGCTTGTGAAAGGAAGTGTGAAAAGTGCTATAAACTGCCTCTCACCACACCCCCCCCCACTCCCCCCACCAAACTGTTACAAAGGAGTGGTTAAACGAAATGAAATCCTTTCACTCACTCTCTATAATCAACAAGTAACAATTTATTTATCTGACAGTGAACAAATTAACAGAACTACTAGCGAATTGAACAATTCCTCCTTCACTACTAACTATTCCTGGGAAAAAAAACAAAGTTCTAATGGTATGCCATTCCAATAAATGTAAGTCCCACTTGTATAAACCAAAATAATGTTTATAAAATTAAAACTTAATCTCTCATATACAGCCAAGATATGTCTTCCAAAATGCTTTGTGCCCTCTCTGCTGATCCTCAGTCCAGAATGCCTTTCTCTGTCGAATTCTTGTGTCAGGAATATTAGCTAAGAGTGTTGCTATACCTTTATTTAGATGATGGGTACTCTGACAGCGTGGAGAATTCTGTGAGAGCCAGTGATTTTTCTCTTTAGAGCTGATGGATTGTTAACTCTATTAGATGGCAGTTGCTCTCACACCTATTTTCAAATGCCCTCTTCTTTTATGCCCTTGATGACCTATTAATTTCTTATACTAGGCTTGGTCCTAGGTCCTCAAAACCTCCAAATTTAAATTTAATTGGTTTATAGCCACTAAGTGCCTGGCTTAAATTACAGGGGTTCTCCTATAACATGTTCCAGCAATGTGAATTTGCTATAATGTGATTGACAAATATGGGAACGGTATTTGTAAAACACGAACTTATGTTGGCTATAACACGATTCCATAGTGTATGGATTGCTCTTTGCACTATTTTGAATACAATGTTATTCAGGTTTATAACGCATTTTAATCATACAATTAACTTCAATGCTAATGGGCTACATAGGAAAGAAAGGTCAGATTCCTCAGCTTCACTTATCCGAAAATCTGTCCAGAAGACTCTGGCAATGGAATGTCATGTCAGATCAGCATTTAAATGGAGAAGGGAATTTTACTAAAAATTGCCGACATGTCAATTTCAGGGGAGTTTCATGGAGGGTTGCTGGCTGTGAGCTCTATCTCTCATGATTTTACACTGCTCACCTCCTTTGGATCATACTCGCACTATCGTACAGTACTGACCGTTGCTGGGATTTCCAGTGGTCAGACTCTATTGAAAGCCCAGCTGTCACTTCATTGTAAATACAAGGTCAGATTCGTAGATGTATTGCCTCTTTGCAGCATCACTTGATAGATAAACTGTCATTATAACTGTAGCTATGAGATTGAAGCTACACAGGTGAGGAAGAATTTTGGAAAACATAATTGTGGCCTTATAATAGGGGCCTTTGTGCCCCTAACCCCACTTTTCCCATAGACCTCATTATTTACGTAGTGTGATTTTCTATAGCACAATGTTGTGTTGGAACGCAACTTTCGTGCTATAGCAGAACCCCCTGTAATTGGCTGAATTTCAAACTGGGTGCCTTAATAATATAACAAACTGCTGCCTGGGTTGCTAACTACACAGCCTTTTAATCCAATGGCTCAGTTTCAGGCTTGGGAAAAAAAACACATCATTTAAAGGGACCACGCGCTCTTCCCCCCCTCCCCCTCCCCCACCCCCCAAATCATTTCACAAACACTGATGAAACCCAAAAAGAGCAGATTATCTGTGAGTAAGACAGCTAACGATGACCACTGCTGGTGAGATGGTTTATGGTTAGCAATTAAAATATATTTAATATTTGACTGGAAGCCAATGTCATCACTGCTATCCGTAATCACGTGTGTAGAATTAATTCCTGATGACACTATCTAGTTACACATCAGGAAATTCTTCAGTTTTCCAGCCTGGTTGATTTGTATTCCTGAAAGTTTCATCACATGACATCCTCCATGAAATGCACATTCCCACTCCTGCCATTAGTCACCAGGCTCATGTGTCCTTGTGACACACCAGCTTGGGCATTTTTGGAGCTCTTTGCTACCCAGTTGGACAATGGAAATAGGCCGCTCAACCCTTTGAACCTGCTCTGCTCTGAGCTGTTTGTGCTCCTAATTCCATGCTCCTGTCAACCCCTGATAATGTTAGATTCTCGGCAGAATCAATCTGGGTTCTGAAGGACACTTGTGTAGACTCTATATATTCTGTTTCTCTGTTCACAGATGCTGCCAGACCAAAGGAGTTTCTCCAGGACTTACTGTTTTTATTTAAGGATCTATCTACTTCTGTTTTTAAAACAAAAATCAACGATCCCGTCTCCACAATTTTGAGGAAGAGAATTACAAAGTTGGTTAGCCCTCAAAACGAAGAAAATCTCCTCGTGTCTGGGCTGAAAGGCCAATCCCTAATTTTTAAGTGCCCCTAGTTCAGAACTCCCCCACAAGAGGAAGCGTTTCCACGTTCATCTTGTCAAGATCATTTGGGATCTTTATAAACTTCAATCAAATCACCCTTCACTCTTCAAAACTCTAGTGGAAGCAAAGATGATCCTTGTCTATTAATGAAATGACAGCAAAGTACATTTATATCATGTTCAAATATAGTTTTTGTTACCATGACCCTGTGTTTTTTCCCTCTTGGATTTTACTTAGTGTACCTACTGGAAGTTTTGGCTTTAGGACTCACTGCAATGTACTGATTTCTGGTCATAACCCCAAGTCTGCAGAACATGAGTGAACAGACTCCAATTTATAATGAATGATGGAGACTTCCTGAAATTGCAGGAGATCTTCTTTGTCACTCCTTGGACTTCCTGCTGAACAGTTTACTTCATGCTGCACTGAGCAACTTTCAGGGCCAGAAGTGTTCCCTGTTGTCACCCAACGTGCTGTCTCTGGCAGGGCTCCATCCCTTCCTCACTATATCGCCCCAGCACCTCCGCCCTCCAACTCTATCTCTCTGGCGCTAATTGAACTGGCTCCATTGGGTGCATCAGGCCTTTCACAGACCTTTATTGAAGTGCACCATTTGACTTCTTGATAATGTGTCTCCCTCTCTGTCTCCCACCACCAGATTTCGCATGCGGAACAAGAGGTTAGCAGCCGGCCGGACCCTCAGCCAGTCCCTGACCCAGCTCAGCAAGGTTGGAGGGGTGATGTCGGTAACGTCCAACACCTTATCGGACGAGGGCTCCTTGGAAACTGGCACGAAGCCTGTGTCCATTCAGAACGGCATGGTGGCAGCGAGCAGCAGCATTGCACAGCTGATCTCCCGTGGCACCGACTGTGCCTACGACCTCACCATGAAGTCGGGCAAGATGAGCGACATGAGCATGAGCGCACCAGGCTCGGTGTCGGGATCACCACCTGACTCGTAAGGAAACCGTATAAAACTATGCTGTTAAGTACTGTTAACACAGCCACAGAGTCCATCACCTGTTCTAGCTGCCAGGAAGGTAGGAATCTCAGTGCCATCTCTGGAGGTCACCCTGCAACCAGGGGCAAGGATGGAGCTCTCAGGTCTTGGTGGCACTCCTAACAAGGGCTTCCACCCTGCAACCCAAGCCTGGAACCAGGGTAATGAGCCCTAATGTACTCTTGTGTCCTGGACCCTGCTTGCAACATCCTACCATTCACCACCAGTTCCATTCTGTCTGTCCCAGATCTGGGGGAAATGGATCTCCCTCCAAGGTTCATTCATTGAATGATTACAGCGTAGAAGGAAGCCATTCAGACTGGCCTATCCATGCTAGATCCCTGTGAAAGCTATTTACCTAGTTCCCACCCTTTTTCCATGGCTCTGTGAATCTTTTCAAATAATTATTTGATTCCAATTTGAAGCTCACAATTTAATGTGCTTGTACAATGCACTCGGCAGGGTATTCCAGATTCTGAGCACACACTATGACAAAGTCTTTACCTCAGACTAAAGAATCTCGTGAGGGGCAATCATTCACATTGTTTGAACGCCCCCTGTAAAATTGCATAGAAAACCATTTAAGAGAGAGCTTGCCTTTATAAAGTGCCTTTGATAACCTTGGCCTTCCCATACATGATCTGCAGTTAATGAATTGTCAACACTGCAATGTAGAAAATGCAGCAACCAATTTTTACACAGAAAGATTCCCACAAACAGCCAAAAGAAAATCCAGATGCTCTAATCTTGGCAATGTTGGTTGAGGTAGAAGTGTTTGTTCAGGTCATCTGGGAGAACTCTCCCTGCTGCTCTTCTTAGGAACTAGTATCATGGCATCTTTGATGTCAACCTGACAGGCCAGATGGGGTCTCTGTTTAACTTTTCATTTTGAGAACTGGTGCTGGAGATATTTTGGGACTGCCCAAGTTTAGTTTGGGAGGCTGAGCTCATGACATTGAGATTCAGAAACTGGGGTGGGTGCTCCACCAAGTCACAGGTAGCATTGGATAAAGGAGAGAATAGCAAACTACGTAATAGTTGTGTGCTGAGGATTTTGAGGGGTAAATCTGAACTTGGTGTAATCACTGAACCTGTGTATATGCACACATTCAGATGGATCGAGAATGTCTGTAAGAGTAGCTGGTAGGATTTGGGGGCAGGCATAGTTAATGAATTAGTAACCAAGGCCTGTATGGGGTAGTAAGGTGAGTGGGGCAGGGATGGTGTTGTGAAGAGCATTTGTGAAGGCATCAGCTCAATAGCTGGTGAACTGAGGGACTAAACACCTTGACATTCCAACAAGACTATGAGTAAGCATGGTTGAATCAGTGCGAAATGTCATCCTGGAGATGCTGACCAGAGGAGAGTGAGAATTGTTGAAAGCCAGGTTTTCAGGGGCATTGCACTGCAGTTTCTCAGAGAAGTGGTTTCTGCCAGGTTCCTTGCCCACATTCTTCTTCTTCCTTTGCCTGATGACAATCCCATTCTACTCAAACCAAAAGCAAGATACTGCAGATGCTTCAGTACAATCTGATGCGTTTTGCTCCTTTGTGGCAGAGAGTTGTATATTCTCATCATCCCTGTACAAAGAAATCCTCCCTCACTGTTTCTCCCCCGCCTTGTCTTGGAAAGAAAACATAATCCTATGCAATCTCCTCACCAAGCAGCTCCGTGGTTCATGAGCTAAAGTAGTTCTGTTGAGTCCTGTGTGACTCAAACTCAGAACCAGTAACATGGGTATATAGAAACAGGAAAAGACACCATTCCACCCCTCTCTAGTCAGCTCCTCATTCAATTCGATCTTAACTGAACTATGTACTAGAGTCACCCAGCTGCCTTGGTTTTGTATCCACTGATATCCATATCTTCAACATCTCAATTAGATTACCCACCCCCTCAACTGGTCTGTACAATCTGTTTCACCTTTTTCTTCCAGGAATAAGTGGTAAATCGTTTTTTTCCCTTTATTCAAGGGATATGGTCACCATTTGTTGCATGTTCCTGATTGCCCTTGTACTAATCGACTTGCTGGGCCATTTCGGAGGCCAGTTAAGAGACACTTTATTACATTGCTGAGAGTCTGGAGTCACGTAAGCCAGTAAGAATTGTCAATTCCCTTCCCGAAAGTACATGAATAGACCAAATGGCTTTTTATATCAATTGATGATGGGTCTCATGGGTACCGTGACTGGCTTCCAATTCCAGATGTTATTACGTAACTAAAATAGATCCCACCACAGTTGAAAGTTTGTGGTCATGTCTCCAGAGCTTTAGCCTATGCCACTGAATTACTAGTCCCCTAACATTACTACGATCCCACTGACTGCCCTTGTGAGCCACCACCTTAAACCATTGTAGTCCAATGCAGGTAAGATGATTTAAGAGTCAGATGCATTGGTGTGGAATTGGAGTTGTGGATAGGCCCTGATCATAAAAAAATGTTGGGTTTCCTTCTTAGAACAACATTCATGAGCCAGTTATAAATATAGATAACATTGTGGAGCTGGCGGAACACAGCAGGCCAAGAAGCATCAGAGGGGCAGTAAAGCTGACACTTTGGGTCAGGAACCAGTTGGGGTTTTTTGCAACAGCCTGGTGTGCTCATACTTGCTTTCGCTGAGACCAACTCTTCATTTCTAGGTTTTGAAAACACAGTTAAATTTCTCAATGACTTAGTGGTATTTTAACAAATTTTTCTGGATTATTAACCTCCAGATTACCAGTATCAAACCCACTGTGCATTCAATCCCCAGTACAGTTGCACAAACCATAAATTCTGAGTTCAAATCCCACAGTGTTAAATTGTGAAATTAGATTCTCACGGTTGGTTTATTTGCGAGCTCTGAGGAGGGAAACCTGCTGACCATACCCAGACTCTGGTCCCACACTGAAGTGGCACAGCTATAAGCTACGAGCAATCATTCTGATGTTTAGCAATGAGCGTTATCACTCTGCAGTGTCTTGAGCTAAAGACTCACTAGCACCATCTTGGATCAGTTGATCTCTTGGCACTGTTGAGAACAAGAACAGGATGGTTCTATCTGATATCCTTCCCAGCATGTATCCAGCAATCAACATCACTGAAACATTTGAGAGGAGGCTACTCGGCCCTTCGAGCTTGCTCTGCCATTCGATACAATGACTTTACCTGCTAATTCCTACATATCCCTAGTAATCTTTCACCCCCTTGGTCATCCAGAATCTGTCTACCTCTGCCTTAAAATATTTAAAGATTCTGCATTCACTACCTTTTGTGAGGAAGGAAATTCCGAAGACCGGTCCTTCGAGCAAGGGTATGATTTCTCGTCTCCGTTTTAAATGGGTGACCCTTCATTTTTAAACTATGAACCTTAGTTCTAGCTGTGGAAAAATTAATGGTTAAATTATTATCTTCTATAGGCTTACAGTCATGCTGTAGGATCTTGCTATGTGCCAAATGGCAATGCACTGCCTACATTACAGGGGTGATGACACTTCATTGGCAGACAGGCACTTTGAGAGGCCCTGAATTGATGAAAGCTGCTTTAGACCTGCAGGTTTTCCTTTATCTTGCACCCAACGGTGGGCAGTAATGAGTGTTCCTGCTAGCAATTGCCCACATCCCAAGAGCAAAGAAATGCTTTCAAGAGCAGGATGAATGTTGGTCAAACCTCCAATGCTCTGGAAGTCCCAATCATAAGGTTACCTTCTGTACTTGAAGTAGCAGTTTCTCTAGTCATTGTGGAGCTAGCTACACAGATCCAGCACAACAGTTCCCATGTCTCCAAAACCGAAACAGACTAAAGCTCTCTGCCCTGCCGTTCCCCCACAAGATCATGCTCTTGCGTTGACTCCTAATGTTAAAGTCAGTCCACAGTATCCAGTGAGTGTACAAGGCCCATTGAGGTACTGGTTTCAGTCTTCTGGTGACTCACTGTCACCACCTTCTGCCAGTTGTCACAAGTGAGCTGAGAGCTACTGGCTGGCTGCCTTATCCACAGACTCTGGTCAGAAGGATTAAAATGACCATAAGGCTCTTCTGTGATCTGGGAAGGTAGCTGCATCTGAGCTCTGACCACGATGACTCTAATGGACAGGCTCATCACCAGCTTTGTGTGGAAGCACCAGTGTTTCCCTCCCTCTCTCTCGCGCATGCTGTCTCTGTGTCTCTAACATCAGAGTGTATGTCTCAAGATCAGCTCAAGCTGACTGTCTGTCTCCTGTATCTCTCGGCAGGATGGAAATGTCCCAGAAGAACTCGCTCGGTGCCTTGCCCATCAATACCCTGTCTGTGCCACCCCGGATCAGTGCGGAGATGCCACCCATGCCAGTCTCCAAGCCAATTCAGATGGTGCCGCGGGGATCGCAAATGTACCCGCCCACTCAGCAACCGGACGTGTACTACCAGGACCCGCGGAGCTCTGCAACTTCGTACGAGGCTGCACAGTGTCCACCAAGTGAGTAGTCTTCCCCTTTTTTTGTGAAAACACGGTCAGCATCCTGTAACAGATCCAGAGTGAGGATCCCTGACAAAGATCCTGCAGAAACCATCCATACTACATTTGGACGGAGGACGGAAGCCCACCAGGTCGTGTGGTGAGCTCTCGGGTCTCTAGAGCCCTGTCCCAAGGAAGGCGCCACTGGGACTCTGGTTTCTGGAGCAAAAATCTCCAACTCCATGCAGAGAAAGACAGCAGTCACTCTCCTGTGGAGCTGGATGAACACGGCAGGCCAGGCAGCATCTGAGGAGCAGGAAAGCTGACGTTTCAGGTCCTTGAAGGGTCCAGACCCGAAACGTCAGCTTTCCTGCTCCTCTGATGCTGCCCGGCCTGCTGTGTTCATCCAGCTCCACACCTTGTTATCTCAGAATCTCCAGCATCGGCAGTTCCTGCTATCTCTGAGTCACTCTACTGTGTTCTACACTGTGACCACAAGGTGGTGCTGCCACTCCAGTTGGTTCCTTTGCAAAGCCAAAGCAGCTCTGCAAGTATATGAGAGAATGGATGAAGCCATCTTCCGATGGGCACCTACTCTCTGAGCGTGGCCTGTGGCCAAAAACATTGCCCTGCCCTTTGTCCCATAGACCACTTGAATTTGCACTGTTCCGCACTTGCTGCTGAGCTATGTGAGATGATTCATGTTGACACAGTTTGAGGCGGAACCCAGCTCCGTTTAGAAATGTATCTGAACATACACAAACATCTCCGTTAAATTCAAGATCCTGTCTACCTTGTCAAGTGGATATGAAAAATCCAATGGCGCCATCTTGTAAGAGAAGCAGGGGCCCTGACCAAAATGTACCCCTCAATTAAAGTCACTGCACTAAATTATCAAACGTTACCATGTTCTGTTGTGAGAGCTTTGTATTTCTTGTATTAGAACACTAACTGCTCGTCACAGGTATGTAATTGACTGAAAAAAAGAGTTTTCCTGGTACTGTGAAAGATGCTACATAAATACATGCATCCATTTATGTGCATAAAACACTCAATTGGACTCCAGCTACTCTTCAGTATCCTCACTTTTGATAGTTTGCAACACAACATGTACATACTATGCTGAAGCCTCCTTTTGTTTTACCAGACCTTTACTATCCTCACCATTCTTCAGGAACTGTGACTCCATACCTGCCGCAGTATCGACGGACTAGCAATGTGCCAGAACCTCCAATGCCCCCTTCCACCCTTCAGTACCAGGACCATTACCCAGCCTACATTTCAGAGAGGATGGGAAGTTCTCAGTACTCTAGCCCTCAGCAGTACCCACTGGCACAGCCGGTGTCAGGAATGTACCCAGCACATTACGATGGGCGCCGGGTTTACCATCCTCCACAGTCCTACACGAGGGAGGAAATGCGAAACAGCCCGATACCCGTGGATTTGCCATCTGCCGTCACCAACTATGTCACAGAGCCCAGAGACCGCTATGCCCCTGAAAACTACTACACTGTGAGTCCTCACCCCAACCAGATCAGACCTCCTTACAGGGTAAGTGTTGAATCTGCCTTGAGCATCATGTGTTTGTGTTTTGTGTGATATTGATACTATCTGCTGGTGTCAGTCTGTGCTACACTGCCACAATGAATCTCTCCTGAGCCCAATTCCTCACCTCTGTTCCACACAGTGATAAAACACCACTTAATACCTGTGGAGTAAACATTGGGCTGGCATTTAATCCCAGCATCTCCATCAGGCAGTGGGGAAATGTTGGTCTACCGCATGATACTAACATCTCCCCATTCTCAATTCCACTGATCTCCACCCTGACAGTGAGAGGGGAAAATGATGCAGGCTTGCGGAACACAGGATTGACCCGTTAAAATGCTGAAGCACTTGCCGCTTGTCCTTCACAGTCTGTTCAAACTGTGCCTGAGTTCCGTGTGTACCACTGCCCTGTGCTAGATCAGTCCAGTACCACCTCGCTTTTCAGGTAGTGTTGTCCTACTCTGAGCTATGCAAGGATTCACATTTTATCACTTGTCCCTGCTGACAGTTCGGGGACAGTCTGGAATTTCATGAGCTGTAAAACGTACAAGAGGTGGTGAAGGGTGGGGAAGGTCTGATTTGAAGCAAAGGAAATCTGTATAAAAATGTGGAGGACGTGCTAATGAGGATTTCTTCCAGCTTCCATTGAAAATTACAACAGTGAGAAAGGAAGAGTGCAAGGGGAAAAAGTGGAGCAATTTGATAGAATAACTTTTTAAAATGAGGAAGACATTCTTAAAAACAGAATGGGAACGAAGTGGAGAAGTCACTGAGTCACAATGGCTGCAACCTGCACTAATGAGAGAGGTTTTGAATTTAATCCCTACAAATACCCTTGGGCAAATAATTATTATGGCCTTATACTATTATTCTAATATTCTGCTCAAGCTGGGTGCAAACCAGGGAACTGTGGAAAATTTAGCCTAATGCCATTGAAGGTTCAGAGAATACAGCATCGGACAAAATTAAAAGGCAGAGCTTAATTAGTGACCCCTGGAGGGGATCAGATGGTGTGCATTGATAAAGGAAGTGAAATGGCACTCTTTGAAGTTTTCAAAAGCTTTAGTTTGCTGAGTTGCTGAATGAGAGACTTGGTTGTAAAATTAAGGATACATGATATGAAGGGAAATGTGGCAAAGACCAGGAAAGTGAGAGTAGGGGGTAAGGGATGGTTTGTAGGTAAGCGTGATATAAGTGGTGGTGTCTGCACAGGTCAGGTTTGAGGTCATTACTGTCCTCAGCATAGATGACTTGGGGTCCAAAATCAAAATCTGCATCTGACAAGGAGTAGTAATCTTGTGTTTGTGTGTTCAGAATTACTGAGAGATGGCATGAACAGAAACACACTGGATGACGGTTCATGCAAAGCAATGATCGATTTTGAGAGAGTGAATAAGGAGGAGAAATATACATTCAGTAGTAGGGAGGCACGGCAGTTCAGTGGTTAGCACTGTTCAATTCCAACCTCGGGCAACTGTCTGTGTGGAGTTTGCAGATTCTCCCCATGTCTGCATGGTTTTCCTCTGGGTGCTCCAGTTTCTTCCCACAGTCCAAAGATGTGCAGGTTAGGTGGATTGGCCATGCTAAATTGCCAATAGTATTCAGGGATGTCCTGGCTTAGGTGGATTTGTCATAGGAAATGCAGGGTTACAGGGATATGGTAGGGGTTTGGGTCCAGGTGGGATGCTTTTCAGACGGTCTGTGTAGACTCGATGGGCTGAATGGCCTATCCCCACACTGCAGGGATTCTATGATTCTATAATGTTAAGAAGAATGAGAGCAGCAGATTTGACAGTTTAAAACTGGAGGGGTGAGGAGGAGATTCGTGTGTAAGTTGATGAACATTTGAAATGGTAGACTTTATTGGGCATGGGTGTTACACTTCAGGTAGGTACGAAGGACACCAGTAAGAAGTAGTTGTCCTTGTGAAGAGTGGGCTAAAGAAACGAGGGCACCATTCACACAAATTAAGAGGAATGTGGTCACGGTATCCAAAGCAAGGGGAGGGTTTGAAAATGTGAATCAGAATAAACTATCCCAACTGGTCAGTGAGTCAGTTATAAGAGAAGATGAATTTAAGGTCAGCAACAGAGAGAAGTAAGGGTCAAGGTGAAGGGACAAGTACTACCCATAATAGCTTGGATAACGTAGATTCAGTAGGCTGTGGGATGTAGGAATAAGTCTAAGGGAATGGAATTTATTTTAGAGAATTTGTGCAGTAGTGGTGGACAGGCTTGTCTCCTGCTTCACTGAACAATCAGGTCACTGTATGGTCGTTGAGCATTTCCTTGTGTGTGTGTCTGTCTAACTCTAACTCTAACTGCCCACTGCCCCC